CGTTTACTGTTGGATGTTGTTTTGTTTATACTTTTTGAAAGGACTACAGATGTAAGTTAGCTTTAGGCTAACTCTGGTGCAATGCATCAAATAATGTTTTAATTGCACACTGTCCCACAAAAATAAAATCATTCATTCATTCATTTTTGAAGTTAACCCAGTTCAGCTGCTTGATATTAGCCGACACAAACCTGTCTAACTTATTCAGTTCTACAGATGAGCTAAAAAGTGACCCAACAGTTGTCCTCAACCCATAATTGAAGTGCTAAAACGTCTTGGGATTGTGTTTGATGTCATTTACAAGGTTTGACCAGAACAAATTTCATCTTGTGATCTCATTTTAACACACTGGCTGAAAACAGCGAGTGATTTGGATTCCTTCAAGAAATGCTACGCTTTTTAATTTTTAATTTTGTTTTGCAGCTGAAATCCTCAAAGCCGTGCTGTCATCTAAGACCCCAGTGTGTCAGATCCAGGACTTGGACTCTGCGTTTCCTGTCGGCTCCACTACACTTTCAGAGTCCAGCTCACCTGAAACCCTTGAAGGCAGCCAGCCTGACGTCTTCCTTCAGTCTGCAGCTGACACACAAAAACACGATCCCAGCACCTTTAAGGTAAATATTTGTCATTCTGTTTTTATTTTTTAAATTAAACTTAGATGCTAAAGATATTTGAAGTGAAATATTGATGTAGCTTTATTGTTTATCTTTTTTCCATGACAGGGGTTATTCTAGCAGAGCTTCTTTCCTTTCTGATTACAGACGTGTGCTTCATGATGGCCAACTGTTGTTTTAATTATTCAACGCTGACTGTTAGAGTTACATTTCAGTCTTAATGTTATGAAACATTAATAAGCTCAGAATAATATGAACTCCATTCAGCTCCCAAAGGTCAGGCAGCATTAAAAATAAATCAGGAGACTTCTTCCAGCAACCGTCACACTGTAGTGCTGCTCTCTGCAGCTTTTGTTAGCTGTGAGGTAATTTACTTTAATAAGAATGGATCGTTTCCTCATCACCGACTGACAGGTAATGTATCTGAAAACGAAGCAGAAGAGATTTGTGCAGCCTGAAGGGGGCGCCAACGTTGCATGAATGTTACGTTTTTTTCATCCTAACTTGTGAGGAATGTTTTCATATGCTTGTGGAAAAACTGTGACACCTATATGAGATAAAAACAACCAAGCCCCCTCTAATATTAAACATCTTATTGTTCCATATTTTCCTAACAGAGCACTTTGCTCTCAGACTGCAGGTTTATATGTGGTTCCTCGAGTTTCTAAAAGTAAAATGGCACAGCTTTCAGTTACCAGGCAGGCACTTCTCTTGTAGAACCATCTTCCAGTTTATATTTGTTACAGCCTCATCCTCAACACATTCACTGAGTGTAACTCATTGTGCAACAATCTTTGCTTAAAACCACAGCTGTAACTGTTGAAATCAACTTTGTCTGTATTGAAAACCACTGGTCAAATTTTAAAGGGATCCATGATTAGTTGTAACATTAGACTTTATTTGATAAACACATATTTTAACTAAAATAAAGACTGTGAAAATACTGTAGGCTGTTTAGTTTTTATCATTTTTAAACTAAAAGTTTAAAAATATATTACATGGCCGAGGCCATTTTATTTACACGCAAAGCATTCTGGGTAAATGATGACGTGGATAGGTCCTCGGTGTGAGCGAGCTATATCCACCCTGAAGGTTAATCTTGGACAATATCTGATGATCGACTCTTTTAAATGAAACCAGAGAGCGTTGACAGAGAGGAGAAGGTAGAAATGACTCAGCCTGGAACTGAAAATATGGATGGAGGACAACAGAGCTGCTTCATGGAAGAAGAACCTCAGCTTAGCCTGTTAGCTTTAGCATTAGCCTCGACGCTATCACCATATATATGTATTAGCTCAGCGCTACACATTCTCCTCTCATCACTGAGGTCCTCCATCCACATGACAGAGAGGCAAACACAAAAATGTCTCAGCTGTAATTGAAAATGTGGATGGAGGACCTCAGTTTAGCTTGTTTGTCGCGCTAGCGCTGAGCTAATACATATAAGGCAATATAGCATCAGCGCTAGTGCAAAGGCTAACAGACTAAGCAGAGGTTCTTCTTCCATGAAGCAGCTCTGTTGTCCTCCATCCATATTTTCAGTTCCAGGCTGAGTCATTTCTACCTTCTCCTCTCTGTCAACGCTCTCTGGTTTCATTTAAAAGAGTCGATCATCAGATATTGTCCAAGATTAACCTTCAGGGTGGATATAGCTCGCTCACACTGAGGACCTATTCACGTCATCATTTACCCAGAATGCTTTGCATGTAAATAAAATGGCTCCGTCCATGTTAAAACATATTTTTAAAGATTTACAAAACTAAACATCCTACAGTATTTTTACAGTCTTTATTTTACAGTTAAAATATGTTTATCAAATACAGTCTAATGTTACAACTAATTGGGGATCCCTTTAACAAAACTCAAAAGGTAACCATTACATAAACATCTACAACTGACTAACATTTGGAGTCAAGCCTATTAAAGATGGCCGACACAGCCTAATTAACCTTAGCCTACACAAAAATGGATACAACTCAATGAATTTTACAGACATTCAGCTAAAATTTGGTGTGGTAGTAGCTGAGAGTTTTTTACAAAACAAGCAGTAAGTTCTAACAGATCATGTTAGATATCACATTAGAGCAGGGATGGGCATGTTTAATGATATTAAGGGCCACATTTTTTTACACTACCGGAGGGCCACATAGCATTGCACATTTACCCAAATGTAATAAAACTGCCATTTCTAAAATGTTTGTGTTTGTAAAATGTTGCAGCATTTGTAAGGAGCATGTGTTTCTGAGATGAGCAGTAGAGCTGAGTATGTGGGTTGCACACATGAAAAAAATTGCCAAATACTTTCTTCCATTGCCAAACAGCTTATTTTGCTGTTGCTATTGACTCTTCTTTTGAGCTTCTGGTACTCCCAGGTGCCCAATATCAAATTTATTTCCATGAAAAACTTTTACAATAAAGAAATAATCTACCAAACACAAATTTCCTTCATTTTTGTGCTACGTTTATATATGTTTATTAAAACCAGCATACAATGCAGTAACTTAACATAGTTCATGCTCAGATATAACAGTTTAATAAATAAAAAAATTTTACATGTTAAAAGAAAAAAAAAAAACAATTACTTTTGCAAGCTGAAGAGCAATGACATAATATGCCTTGAGTTCAGATTCCTGTGTGGTTGTGTTAAAAAGTTACTGTTATGTACTTGTGAGTTCATTAAAGGGGCAATATTATGTGTTTCTCAGGCATGTATTTAAATACTATACCATAGTAAAGTATCTATGTCACCTTTAGTTGTTATTAAAATGCTGTTTTTATGTTTAAATAGAAAATAAACTTATCTTCTCATCACCTCCTCTTCTAAACGCCTTGAAATTGGCCTCTGTCTCTTTAAGAACCACCTTCACTTCTGTCTCGCCCATTTCAGTGCGGGGGGGGCGGGGGGGGCTGCCATGATGCAGTTTACTTAGCATCTGAAAACACATTTCCTCAAAGGTATTTTGAATCTGAAAAGAGCTTCACTGAGTGAGAACTAATGTTGAGAGCTCAGCAGACAGTTAGGTTTCACTTTCACTTTCACCTGAGATCCTGCATGAGTCATGGGCGGGGTGTGTGGGGGGTAGGGGGTGCGCTCTGCCTTGAGGAAGTTTGGCTTAAAGACACGTCCCAGGGGCGTTTCTGGGCCAAAAGGTGTTTCTGGTCCCCACCTGTCATTTTGCTCCTCAGCATGGCTTCATAAAAATGCTGCAGGATTTCTCAAACATGCATGAATGAGTCAAAGCAAGGCTTTGGGTATGTTTTTGATGAGAGTATAACTATAACGTGATATAAAACTCAAAAAAGTAGATTTTACATGATATTGTGCCTTTAAATTTTCATATTTAGCTTTGTGTAACATGTTGTAGTGGCAAATTCTAAYTCCTTCATGGCACAAAGCGTTTCTAAGCAGACTGAACTCATAGGTTTGCCTTGAAATTCTGTGGATAAATAAAAAAAATTACACTTTGTGTTTTGAGTGAAATATAAAAGAAGGTGGGCCCGACAGAAATCAGCTGTAGGCTAGATGTGGCCCGCAGGCCGCCAATTTCCCATCCCTGCATTAAACTATTCAGAACGTTCTAAAGTTAAACTTTGGTGGTGGGTGAAATGCTAGGCCTTCTTAGGACTGAATTCGATTAATGATTTGAACTTAATTTTTTTTCTTTGTGTGGTGTCCTGATGACTTTTGTTGTGAGCTGGTTCTATATAAAAACCAAACTGAATCGAATTAAAACACATGGTTTCAAAGAGTCACAGCGTTGACCTGCGTGTTGTGTTTGATTTCTCACAGGTCGCCCAAAGTGTCCACAGCCTGACTCAGCTCCTGTACAGTTTGCAGGTAACAGCAGCAGCACTCTGTGAACAACCGGCAGCACTTTTTTTAGCTTTCTCCCAGCACTTATCTATGTTTAGTCACCAAACAAACAGTCACTGTTCTCAGAATGAGCAGATGCACGCTCTGAGCCGAGGTGCAGGCCTGCGAGCTCCGACTTCAGTTAACACAAGCCCATTGCTTCGCCGGGCTGTTTGAAGCCAAACGCAGTGAGCTACAGGAGCTCTTCCTTACTGATCTTTTTTTTTCCTGCTCACAGACATAGGGGGAGCTTTTGTGTTGCTTCTCTTTGGCATAAAATGTAAATTTGTGTGTAGAGCATGTGTGCAAATTTGCATTGGGAATGTGTGTGTGTTAGGGTGGGGGGTGGTGATCACACTGATTTTCATATTCAATTGTATTCCTTTTGCATTTGGAACCAAAAGCCACAGCTCTTTCGGTAAGGATAGTGCAGCCAGATAAACAAATAAAAAATGTAGGTCAGCAGTTGAACCTGGTTGTAATTTTCATCACATTTTGCCTTTCAAATGACCTGCTGCTTGTTACCAGGATGTGGGGAACATTTCTAGAGAATGGAAGTCATTGAAATTCCCCCAAAAAACTATTTATGATAGACACCATAGTTAAGTAACCTTAGAAAACACAAAAACAGTGATAATTCAGCTAGTTTCATTGGTACTGAGATCAAATTTGTTGTGGTAGTCCAACACGTACTCAGAATGTTGCACATTGAGTGAGATCTTTGTGTTGGTCCTTTTTGTCTCTCTGTACTCCCATAAAATAATCACTGCGTATCTGTCTGCAACTCATTAACTTTTTAGAGTCCATTTGAAAGTGTTCACTACAGCTAATGGACTTTTGCTCAGTCAAGTTTTCAGAAATTGAAATAGAATTTTCAGTGGTAGTAGCAGAGAATAATCGCCCACTTCGGATGTTATCACCCATTAAATGGACGTTATTCACCGTTATCAGTCCCATAGAATGGCTTCAGACTGTCAGCTGGTTAACATGAGGCATAAAACCATTAAGGTTAATTTTAGAGAAAATGACATGGGCTACGATAAAGTAGACCAGACTCCGGTGGTAGCAGATTGTTGCATTCCAACGTATATGGCACTGGTAATCCACTAGGGGGCACTGTCGGGACAGTCTGAAGCCATTCTATGGGACTGATAACCGCTAGCGTGGCCCTTGCCTTCCTACGCAGTTCCACTCAATTCTAGTTTCCCTTCACTGCTCCGTCTGGGATTTCTCCCATAGACAAGGATTTCGCTGGCAGATTTTTAGCCGAACCAATCAGAGGACAGAACGTCAATTTTCTGCACAGTGTCTACTTGTTATTTTAGCATACGGCAGTGGAGGAAGTGAATGAAGCCAGTCTGTGTTGATAAGGCTTCCAAATTAAATTAAATTTGTCTGACAACGCAGCAGCTCTCATTTACAGTCGTCTCGTTTGGCTTGGTATATTTCTCCTCTCAATAGGGTTTTTTACAGCACACTCGATTTCTGGTTAGCTTCTTAGCTTAGCCTCCGTCACAGCGACAACACACACACACACTTCAGCAGAGGCCACGCCTCCTGCAAGAATCGCTTCTCTATAGCAGAGAGTCCAGACCCTCATACGAAGCAAAGTGAAGGACAGGGTCTGGTTTTTACCAGGCTAGATAACCGCTACTAACGTCCATTTAATGGAATGATAACATCTGAACCGGCTGGAATAATTTACAACAGAAACACTAAGAGAACATCTTTATGTTGCAACTTTGTGTGAGAACTTACATAACTACTAATTAATTTACCACAGGGCTTTTCAACTGGTGGCCTGCGGGCCAAATCTGGCCCATGAGTGACCGAAGTTTGGCCTACCAATTGGGTCATTCATCTCTTAAGCCCAAATCCCTGGTTTTCTACTTTAATTACTCTAAGTTCTTTTAGTTAAACATAGACATGTTTGGTATCTACAGAAACTTCAGAATCTTGGCTAGCAGCAGGTAAAAATCATTTCTATGCACACTCAGAACAGTTAAAATTACAAGCAGTTGAAGAAAAAAACTACGAAAGTGAAAATAAAGCTGGTTTAAAATTTGGCAAGTCAGAGATGTCAAAATAATTTGTGTTAAATAGGAGGCGTAATGTGTTCTTTTTGTTTTTGGATATTTTATTATCACTACTTTTATCACATAGGGTTCTGTATGTTGTAATCATGGTTAAATGCAGAAAAATAAACTAATTCAAAGGTAACAGATCTTTGTAATACTTGGTTTATTTACATAATAACTTTAATTGCTGGATGTTCAGCCCCTCAGCTGTTGGCCTACAGTAACTGTGGCCCCAGGAGCAATTTAGTTGAATAGCCCTGATTTACCAAAACATCTATAGCTCCACCATTTCCCACCATGTTTTGTTTAAAATCTAGCATGCAACGTGGCGGACGATGTGCATTCCTTCAAGAAATTCTGGGCTTTTAATTGAAACCAGCTTTTATGAACTCCTTCATTTTGTGTCTGTTTTTCCTCTGCCAGGCTGCTGTAACCATCCAGGACACTTGTTTCGAGGTCCAGCGGCTTCTCCTCCAAGAGAGTGGGCGCCCCTTGTCTCGTCCCCCGTATCTGCACCTCCCGAGCCTTCGGGGCACCACCTTACTGGAGCAGGAGAAGCAGCGGAACCTGGAGAAGCAGAAGGAGGAAGTGGCGGCCGCTCGCCGGCTCCAGGAGCGACTGCGCCAGGAGAAGGAGCGATGGGAGCGCGAGTGCCAGGCGAGGGGGAGCCAGCAGGAGGAGAAGGAGAGCAGGCTGGGGGAGCGGGAGAAGCAGTGCCAGCTGGCCGCGGAGAAGCTGAGGCAGGAGAGGGAGGAGCTGGACGAACAACTCGTGGAGTACCAACAAAGTCTGGAGCGGCTCCGGGAAGGCCAGAGGAGCGTGGAGAGGGAGCGCGAGCGTCTGGAGGATCAGCACAAGCTGCTCCAGGCCTGGAATCATGGGCGGCAGAGCAGTCTGCCGGCTGGGATTCCTCACATGGTCATCCCTCTGGATGGACAACAGGTAAAAACGCCTCAATCCACCAAACGATGACATGTGGTGTTGAATCTGAGGCCATCTGAACCGGCACAGTAACCGCTGACCTTGAGCTGTGTGTGATGGAGAATATTTTTCCAAGAAACTCGTTAATGAGAAGCTTTTTTCAGACAGTTATCAGCCTGAGCTACGCTGCTGCTTTGCTCATTTTCACAGAGGAGCTCAATCCCCATCCTGATATACAACCTGTGATAACGAGAGCAATTCCAGCATCATTTGTCTTAGAGCTCCAGCAGCTCTGCTCACCAATAAACATCTTAATGATTAATGATAATTAAACCTCCGCAAATAAAAGCCTCAACCGAATAATTAAAACTCAAGGCACGCAGCCCAAGCAACCAATCAATCATGTCCTAAAGGACCTAAATTATTGACAGTTTGTTTGAAAAGCAGCTGAGTGAAATGTGCGCCGCAGCAGGAAGGGGTGTAGGATCAAAGCTGAACTGTTCTCCCAGTCAGACCCACACATGTTGCAGAGTTCAAACTCCCAGGCCTGTAATCTCACTGGGCTGGGACTGTTGGAGACTAGTTGGGGTCTCAGCGTGGTGAGAAAATAGGCAAACTTTCAGCTGCAAGTCTGAATTTTGTGACCAAGTGATCAGAAAGTCAATGAAGCCAGTGGCGTGTGTTTGTATTTGGTTACCTCCTTGAATGATGGTCTAAATGATTTAAAAAATAGTCAACTCTTCCTTTGTTCAATACTAAAATGTACTCCAGCATATTAAACTATAAACATGTGAGGTGGGTACAAAGTGAATCAAGGTGGGTACGATGGGGCTGGAGGTGAAAAACAAACAGATGTGCACGACCCAGAATACAGTTTTTTTTAGCTGTGCACAGGAAAATAAGTTGCAATATTTAAATATGCTCGGCTCGTAGTCGCTTATTTGTAAACACTCAGAATTCAGGGAGACTGCAACTAAAGACTGGCTCATTTTCTTAGAAATGTCTTGCAATTCTGAGTCACCTGCTAGTTTTGAACAGTCACAATGCAGAGAAATACTGCCTTAAAGGGATCCCCGATCAGTTGTAACATTAGACTTTATTTGATAAACATATATTTTAACTGTAAAATAAAGACTGTAAAAATACTGTATGTTCAGTTTTTAGCATTTTTAAACTAAAAGTTTGAAAATATATTACACTGACAGGGCCATTTTATTTACATGCAAAGCATTCTGGGTAAATGATGACATCAACTAGGTCATCGGTGCGAGGCTGCTAGCGAGCTATATCCACCCTGAAGGTTAATCTTGGACAATATCTGATGATCGACTCTTTTAAATGAAACCAGAGAGCGTTGACAGAGAGGAGAAGGTAGAAATGACTCAGCCTGGAACTGAAAATATGGATGGAGGACAACAGAGCTGCTTCATGGAAGAAGAACCTCAGCTTAGCCTRTTAGCTTTAGCATTAGGCCCGACGCTATCACCATATATATGTATTAGCTCAGCACTACACATTCTCCTCTCGTCACTGAGGTCCTCCATCCACATGACAGAGAGGGGAACACAAAAATGACTCAGCCTGCAACTGAAAATATGGATGGAGGACCTCAGTTTAGCTTGTTTGTCGCACTAGCACCGAGCTAATACATATAAGGCAATATAGCGTGAAGGCTAGTGCAAAGGCTAACAGGCTAAGCTGAGGTTCTTCTTCCATGAAACAGCTCTGTTGTCCTCCATCCATATTTTCAGTTCCAGGCTGAGTCATTTCTACCTTCTCCTCTCTGTCAACGCTCTCTGGTTTCATTTAAAAGAGTCGATCATCAGATATTGTCCAAGATTAACCTTCAGGGTGAATATAGCTCCCTAGCAACCTCGCGCTGATGACCTGTTGATGTCATCATTTACCCAGAATGCTTTGCGTGTAAATAAAATGGCTCCGTCTATGTTGAAATATATTTTAGAAAATTTACAAATCTAAACATTCTACAGTATTTTTACAGTCTTTATTTTACAGTTAAAATAAATGTTTATCAAATAAAGTTTAATGTTACAACTAATCGGTTATCCCTTTAAAGAGAATAATCATTTGGACCTTATCAAACAGGTCATGGGGTGAGGAGTATAGAGAAACAGGCAGAAGTCTTCATGCAGGCTAGGCTGCCGACTAGCCAAATGTGGGCTTGCTGTTTTAAAGTTTTCATGCCTAAAATATCTATTCTTTCTCAAAATCATCTTATCAACTTGAAATAATGTTACAGTAGTTAATAATACATCTGCACCCTTTTGCACAACCCCAATTCTCAACTGAACAACACTTGTTTTACTATGCAGATGTGGTACCGGCTGCTGAATCTGATCATCGTGTTGAGTCAGTGCAAAAGTTCAAAACGTACCTTATGGCTGATTCATTCATTCAGCCGCCTCAGCACAAATACACGTGGAGCAACTAGGGCTGTCAAATGATTAATATTTTTAATGTGATTAATCCCAAAGTAGCTGTGAATTAATCATGATTAATATTAAATTTAATATACATTTCTATTGCATATTGATAAAGTAAATTACTTGAGTTATTAATTAGTTTTTAATGTTTTTATTTGAAAACAAAATTGATGCTTAGACATGATTTTTTGAATGTATAACAGGACCTAAAAATGCTCCAAACATATTTGAGTCAGTTAAATTTTGTGCAGAATAATGAGGTTAAGGATTTTCTTTCCAAATGAGAACTACATGAGGAATGAAAGATAGATACTAAGGTCGCATTTGTCAGCAAAACATAAATTAAATAAAAAAAATAAGCCATAAAAAGACAAAAAAAAAAAACCTGTACATAATGCGTTTTACATGGAGCTTTTTTAAATTTATTTGTTTATTTAACCTTTATTTATCCAGGTAAACTGTGTGAGAATCACTTCTCATTTACAAACATGACCTGGCATGCACTGAGTGCATTGCAATATACAATCCTACACATTCAGCCATAGGAAAGTCATTGTAAATTTTAATCACGATTAATTGCGATTAACATTTTCTATCTATGCCAGCACTAAAATTAATTAGTTAACTCGATTAATTTCACAGCCCTAGTAGCAACACAAAGGTTTTTCGGTTGAGAAAACTACCTTTGACTACTACCTTTAGAGTCCACATACATCAATTTGTGGGTCTCATTTCAGCAGGTGGTTCTTCTCAAAGCACACACCAAGTACATCGAGGGACAAATGAGCACGCTCAGGTTGCAATAGTCCCTTTCTCCCTCATTAATTTCCACACCACCGTGGGCAGGCTGGATGTGAGCAGGCTGTCTGGGCTCTGACTGACTGTATTTCCATTCAACTAGTTTAGTCTGAGCGGAGCTGGCATTAAAAGCAGCGGGCTAACAAAAGTCTGCAGGGACAGTGGAGGTCCCAGTGTTCCCCTGGTAATGTTTTAGCCAGAGGCGGCGGTTTGCAGGGTCAGACACAGATCGAATGACACACGGTCACGCATCACTTCTCAGCTCACATTTAATTAGCCCGCCTGCCTCCATGGTAATGTGACGAGTGGAGGACCAGGAGGGGAGGGGGACAGACATGCACACAAGAAGAAGATGGAGCTTTAGTGTTGTTTAATTAATTTTTTATTGTTTTAAAACTGAAATCAATTGTTTTTTGAGCTGTAAGCATTATTTTAGATTCACTCTCCTTTGTATATTAGATCCACTGTTAGAAAGGATAAGAAAGTTCAACTCATTTCAGGTTTTTACTCATATTAGTGGAAATATGTTATTTAAAATATCTAAAGCTTGTAAGATATGTTTATAAAGGGTTTCCTGGTCCTTCATAAAACGTATGAATGTGTGCAAAGGTTCACTGTTTTACATCTGTCATTTTCTATACTTTAAATTTCAGCTTAATTTGAATTTTCATTGTTGAAATTACTGCTAAAGTTGAACCTATTAGTTTTTTTTAAGTTCAAAAATAAACTTAATGTCATAAACTTAACATACAGTAAACCAGGGGTTCTTAACCTTTTTGACCTCAGGGCCCAATTTGTTGAAAAGTGGCACGAGGCCCAGTCAGACATTACCAATGTATGGATGAAAATGATAATTATTCTAAATCTTGGTTTAATTTTTATTGTATTTATATTGTAACGAAACTATCATAACTAGCACAACAAAATTAAATACACTTACAGTTTAAAAGTAAAACTACTGTCAGATAATATGACATAATTATGAAAAACATTTTTATATTGTAACCTGCCCATAATAATTATTTGAAAAAATACAAAGGTCAGTCAACAGACCACTCAGGCTTATCGACACAAATATATATATATTGTAACCTGCCCATAACAATTATTTGAACAAATACAAAGGCCAGTCAACAGACCACTCAGGCTTATCAACACAAATATACAGTATGTA